GGGCGTCTATAAATAAACACCGGCTGGGGAGACCATTGGTTGTGATCGTCGTCCTGCTGCGACGTAAAATAATTCCTGATGACACTTGGGGGCGGTCGTTAAATTGCCTCTTGATCAGCCAATCGGTGTAAGGCTTGCTGCACGCGAGGGTAAACAGCGTGCAGGGCTGGCCAGCTGAGCAGCTACTCGGGGCACAGGGGTGGGGCGTGTGCACACCTTTAGTCACGCACACCAAACCGGATTGCTCAGGGACGCTGGCGTCAAGTGACAATCGAAGGGAATTTGGGAAGGGGTAGATTCCAGGTGATACGTTTGAGTAAGACCCCATGCTGCAAACAGACCAAACAAATGATGTTATTTTTATTTTGATTAGTCAGATGTACTGCCATTAACATCTGACAGACAGCATACTAGAATTGTTCTCTGTTCATTTGTGCATTCTGTTTGAGAACTAGTCAAACTAAAAACAGTTTTATTTGTAGGAATCTGGATTTACCTGCTGGACTCGAATGTCTAGTCTCTAATATAGTTGTCGATTATTTATATCGGTTTGTACATGTCGCTGAGGTAGGCATCCATTGTGTGTCCTAGTGTAGACGGTGTGCAGTTCTGTAGCATATGAGCGATAGGGACACCACTAGTGAAGACGACCGGATCTTGCGATTGGCTAGACGCCCGATAGCCCACTTGGCCTTAGGACCAGAGGGCGACAAATATCTGTTCCGCCAGCTTAGGGAGAGGCAGCAGCAGCAACGGAGGGCTAGGGCAGCAGAGATCAGCAGAGCATTCACAAGCGAAGCCGCTGTTTCAGCGGCCATGGCAACTTCTGCGCCGCAGAGTTCCCAGACCAGCAGTTCAGGGTCTATAGGGTCAACGGTTGCACAAACCCAGAGTCAGTCCACTGGCGTTATGGCAAGCCAACCGTTAGTGATAACTCCCGAGGAGATCGCCATACAACGAGCTGTTGATCGCGAGACACAGCTACAAAAGGATTTAAGAGAGATTAAGGCAGAAAAAGAGAGAATGATTAGAAGAAGAGCCAGGATGCAGCGGAGGCAAGCGGACATTAGTGAGTTAGAGGAGATGGACCCAGCAGAGATGGAGGATGATGTGAGGACCATACGGTCGGTCTTGTTAAGTGTAGTAGAGATGCAAGATCACCAGATGGAGATCTTATAGGACATCCAACAGAGTCTGGCTGTGTTAGTCGGGCGATCGCATGCGGCACCATCACCGTTCGGGCTTGGTGCCTGGCCCGTTGTACATCCTCCTCCTTTTGTCCCGCCGGTGATTGGGGTATCCCCATATGTAGCTCCAACATCGGTCCAGACTGTGTCCCTGGGTATGTCGTTAACAGGAGGGCTCTCAACAGGTCCTAGTTTACAGGTTCCTCTACAGACAGTGTTCACCCAATCTCCGTCGCAGGTTGTCGTAAGCGTGCAGCCTGCTGTCTTGCAGCTTGTACAGCCGCAGGGTACACAACCCCTGCAGTCAGTGCAGCAGCCTGTATCACAGGGTCCATAGCCCGGAGTGATGCAGGGACAGGGACAAAGTCAGTGGGTACCGAAGACGGTCATCGCCGCTCCGAAACCCTTCACAGGGGATAAGAGGGGCGAAGACCTCGATACTTGGTTGAGGGCAGTGCCGGTCTATATCAAGTGCAAACTTACCTTGCTGCACGAGGAAGTGCTTGTGGCCGCATCCTACCCAGAGGGTAGTGCAGCAAGATGGTTGAGTGGTTTAGTGCAGTTGCAGGGATACGGTCATGACTTTCGCGCTTAGGCAGCCCACCAGAAACTGGAGGACTTTCTCAAGATGGTGGAAGATAGGTGGCACGATCCTCAGGAGGCCCAAAAGGCCACTGACGTGATCCTAACACTACACACGAGGCAGTTTAAGTCAGTAAGAGAGGCCACTGATGCTATCGAGCGTCTGATCTGTGTCCCTGGGTTGCGCTATGACCCCCAGGTCTTACTCACCTCCTACCTGAGATGCTTTCCCATGCCTCTCAGGAATCGGTTGGCAGGTGAGGCCAACATCAATATGCACAACTTTCCCTCGTTCAGCAAGAAGGCCCTAGACCTTGAGGCAAAGATAGGGCATGGACATAATCCCACGACGGATGGTAGGAAGAAGTCACTGCCTCCCAACTGGAAGGCGAAGGGCCGCATTATGTTTGTCGGCAACGATGGTTCTACCATCGAGTTGGACGACGAGTTCCAGGCGGGAGTAGGTTCAAAGGCTGGCAGCGTAGAGACTTCAGGGGGTGGAGTAGTCGCTGCCGTAGCACAGAAAGGTAAGGCGCCCGGTAGACGCCGTGGAGGTTCCCGGTCAAGGAGTCAAGTTGACCCCAATGCTCCTCCATGGGAGAAAGCGGGTCTCAGTGAGGACGTGTGGAGAGACAGGTACACCAGACATGCCTGTATTCGTTGTGGTCAATATGACCATAACCAATTCAAGTGCCGCAACAAGAAGGTGACCGAGAAGATCCCGCCTATGATGGGGCAGGCGTTGCGATCCTCCAATCCCGTTGGTAGCAATGTGGCTAGCACTTTTGGCACTGCTCCGGGAAACACGTCGGGCCAGTAGGAATAGTAGTTGTTCCTGCTAGGGTCGAGGTGGTGGACACACCCTCACCATCTCGAGAGATGGCCCAAGCTACTGACTCCATCGTCGTCCCGCAAACATGTTCAGACCATGGCTACGATCCGGACGTCCGGACCGCTGTCCAGACGGTTGGGATTTGGTCCGGAATCCGGACGTCCGGTCCAAACGGTCCGGATCTGCTAAATTTCGAGAAAAAAAGAAGAAGAAAAAAAACGGTCCAGGACCCTTCCCCATTGAGGAGCCAAGCCCCCAAAATTGTTTTGAGGGTTTTTTCAGGCCCTTTTATGCTTTTTTGGGGGGTCCAGACATGCTCTCTCTCTATAATAATTTATTAGACAACCCCAAGTTTTTTATTATGAATAATTCATTACCTTTTATTAGTTTTTAAAACTTTTTTAAGTTTTTTTTTAAGCTTTTTATAATTTTTGACTTTTAACTCAAGTTTGGTTAGGAATTCTAACATGACTCTGAGGCAAAAGTGGTTTGCATTGTTATTCTGCATAACATACTTTTTTTTCAGATTTTTTTTTTTTTTTTTTAATGGTCCGGACATTTTTCGGACCTGTCCAGACATCCGGACCGTCCGGATCCCCCCATGTCCGGAGGTCCGGAAATGTCCGGAATTCCGGACGTCCGGAAACTACTGGACACGGGTCCGGTTCCATGTCCGGAAATGTCCGGGTCCGGGTCCGGCGTAGCCATGGTTCAGACCCATCGACCCTCTGTTCGAGGAATGTGTTTGAGTCCTTAGAGGAGCTAGAGGAAGAGTGGTCTAGATCAGACCCGCTAGCTTCTTGGACGACATTGGTCAAAGCCCCTAAGGGTGAGATGTTCGTCAGCGAGGTGGTCATTGGCGACCGCAAGGCCGGGGCCCATTATGACACTTGCTCGACACGGAACTTCATTAGTCGCGCATGCGTTGAGAGGCTGCGCTTACAGGGGCAAGTGCAGGGCCTGAGTCGACCTGTGGAGTCGACCTGTGGAGTCGACCTGTGGAGTCGACCTGTGCCAACAAACAGCGCATGGTAGTCAACGACTACCTCCAGGATGTTGAGTGTTGTTTCCCGTACGCGCAAGGGGAACTGAGACATCGTGTCTCGTTCCTAGTGAGCGATGAACTCCTCATAGATATTTTGTTAGGTATGTACTACCCCTCTGTGGCACAACCCCAGTTTGACTGGGACCGAAAARTGGTCAAACACACTTTGCCAGGTGGAGGACCGCCAGATTACGTAAGTTCAAAGCTAGTAGTCTGATCGAGTCCTATGGATGCATGTGTGCGGCCGCGTTCTATAATTATTATGAGCAAAATCAGGAGGAGGGTATGTATCTAGTCTGTCTCTGCTGCAGGCGAGCCGGTGAAAATGCCGCCGGAGATAGAGGGAGTAGTTGCTAAATACCCTGATCTATTTGAAGAGCCGACAGGGGTTGTTGAGAGGGAGGTCGTCCACGCGATAGAGATTATCCTAGGGTCTAGCATTCCAAAGGGAAGGATCTATCGGATATCTCCAGTCGAGCTTGATGAGCTTCGCCGACAACTCAAGGAACTCGTAGAAAAGGGTTGGATTCGGCCGAGTGTTTCTCCTTATGGGTCTCCAGTCCTATTTGTACCCAAGAAGAAGGAAGGAACACTTAGGATGTGCATTTTGACTATACGGGCCTCAATGCCATCACTATCAAGAACAGAGAGCCCCTACCGCGCATCGATGACTTGCTAGATAGAGTGCAAGGGTGTCGGTACTTCAGTAAGATAGATCTGAAGTTCGGGTACCATTAGATTCCAATCCGGCCCGAGGATCAACACAAAAACGCTTTTCAGACCAGGTACGGTCTATACGAGTTTGTGGTGATGCCTTTCGGTCTTTGCAATGCTCCTGGCACCTTTCAGCACGCTATGAATCAGATATTTCATAACTACTTGGATAACTTTGTCATCGTGTACCTCGATGACATACTTATTTTTAGTAAGACTGTCGAGGAGCACGTTGCGCACTTGGACAAAGTCCTTAGTTCAAGATCAACGGTGAGAAGTGCGAGTTTGGCCGCACCCGTGTCTTGTACTTTGGTCATGAGATTTCCGCTGAGGGATTAAAGCCCGATGACGCGAAGGTGGCCAGCATTCGTGACTGGTCGCGTCCTTAGTCTGTGACTGAGATGAGGTCTTTCTTAGGGATGACCGGCTACTATCGCAACTTCGTGAAGAACTATAGCATAGTTGCCGCCCCTTTGACTGACCTAACTCGCCTTGACACCCCGTGGGAGTGGACAGACAGATGCGAGGCTACTTTTAGACATTTGAAGCATGCGTAGACGCATCATGAGGTCTTGAAACTTCTTGATCCCGACAAGCCATTTATAGTAACTACGGATGCTAGCCAATATGGCATAGGCGTCGTACTTGCACATCAGGAAGGGAAAAAGTTGAGGCCGGTAGAGTACATGTCCAAAAAGATGCCCTCTATGAAGTTGGCTAAGTCCACCTATGAGAAGGAGCTCTATGCGATCTACAAGACGCTCACCCATTGGAGGCACTATCTCCTTGGGAGGTTCTTCTACGTCAGGAATGATAATCAGACCCTGAAGTGGATGAGAACCCAACCTGTGCTCTCCGACGCTTTGAAGCGTTGGATTGAAGTCATAGAGCAGTATGACTTCGAGCCCCAGTACATCAAGAGCGAGTACAACAAGGTTGCTGATGCGTTGTCACGTAGGCTTGATTTCTCATGTGCACTGATTACTGAGTTCGATCTTATGGACGATGTTACTCCCTCTTTGGTGGAAGCCTATCACGAGGACCAGTTCATGTCTGAGATCATACGCAGACTTGAGGCGAAGGATGAGAATACTTCTGCCGAGTTTGAGTTGGTCAACGACTTGTTGTTCCTTGAGAAGGCAGGTTATAAACGATTGTGTGTCCCAAATAGAGAGTCTTTGCGTAGTTTATTTTTAGGTGAGTGTCATGATGCCACCGGCCATTTTGGCTATAAAAAGACAACAACCAATCTGCTGCAGCGGTTCTGGTGGCGCACGATGATGCGAGATGCCCAACTGTACGTGGAGACCTGTCAGGTCTGTCAGAGAGGCAAGCCACGTACTCAGGCTCCTCTTGGGCTCCTGAAGCCCCTTCCAATTTCGGAAAGACCTGGTGAGAGTTTGTCCATGGACTTCATGGATACGCTGGTCACCAACAAGAGCGGGATGAGACATATCTTTATCATCGTGGACAAATTTAGTAAGTATGCTAGGTTGATAGCCATGCCGGAGACAGCAAAAACCGAGTACGTTATCAGACTGTTCAAAGAGAACTGGGTAAGAGATTTTGGTCTACCCAAGTCAATCGTGAGTGACAGGGATGTCAGATTCACAAGTGAGTTGTGGAAGGCTGCTGCTGCCGAACAGGGAACGCAGCTGCAGATGGCTTCGGGTAATCACCCCGAGGCCAATGGCCAGGCCGAACAATTGAATCGCGCTGTCCAGCACCTGTTGCGGCATTACATCAAGCCCAATCAGGTCGAATGGGACGAGAAGCTTGCTCTCATCGCCAGTTTGTATAACAATGTCGTACACAACACCACCGGAGTCAGCCCTAACAGTCTGCTACCGACCTTCAAACCTAGACTGCCTCTAGACTTTTACTACCTGGAAATCAGTCAACTGCTGCACCCGGTACTTTAGAATTTGCATATCGATATGAGCAGAAGATGAAGCAGGCAGTGGAACAAATGCAGAAGGCTCAGGCGGCAATGATAGAATCAGAGAACAAGCATCGCCGCCCGTCTACATTTCAGGTTGGGGACAGAGTCTGGGTGAAGTCCTCAGAACTGAGACAGGAGCACGGGATTTCCCGCAAGCTCATGCCTCAGTACTTTGGGCCATGGGAGGTCTTAGACATTGTCGGGACTGATCCGGATGGGCCGTCTTATGTAATCCGGATCCCTGGTCATCTCCGCACTTATCCTGTCTTTCACGCCTCCAAACTTGCACCTTTCAAGGAAACAGACCAGTTTCCTTCTCGTCACTCAATGCTGCCCCCAACCATGGACGGAGAAGTGGATATCGATGATATGGTGGACCACAGGGAGCTGCCAGTTCCAAGACCAACAGGCAGGGGACGTCCTCCGAAACCGAAGCTGCAGTACCCCGCGTTCGGTTCGGGCATCATATTGATCCAAAGGAGGACCGCTGGTTCACCAGGGAGGAACTCATGCAGACCGCTCCTCAAGTCGTAGCTCAATACGAAAAAGCTCTGCAGAAGGGAAAGCGCCAGATCATTGAAGATTGGACTTCTTAGAGGACTACCGAAGTTATGGAGGAGGGAATGCGAGGCTAAAGCCCCGATTGGCCCCTTTCAGGCCCTGCCAAGCAGCACGCCGGCCGCCCTAAGTGAAGGCAGGCTCGACGAGGGCCAGAGGGCCCTGAATTTTGGCCACCACGGAACTAAGGAAATTCAGGCAGTTGCGCAGCGCCAGTTGGTTGAGAGAACCTAGGCCCTGGGTCGCCTGTTTGCATGAATCAAAGGCAGGCGCTGGGCTGGATACGGGATGTGGGCCAGACACAGGCCGATGACAGTTGGGCGCAAGCAACCACCACAGGCCTAGGGCCTGAGTTGTTTGGACTGGGCCTGAACCTACCGGGGCCTACCGGAAGCTTCTTGGGAAAGGCCCACCGCAGCCTGGGACAGAACGCAGGCAGGCCACTTCCATATAGCAAAGGGCCTGCCTCCGCATTGGACATTCGGGTGTTGGCTGCATGCTGCGCTGAAGCTGACCAGCGCTCACGCGCTCACAGGCGAGCTGGAAGGAGCAGGCAGCCATAGCCGAGCTGCGCTGTTGTGAGCTGGGTGTGTCGCAGGGTGGTCCTTGGGTGCATGTGGCATCTGTGTGTTGGGGAACGAGGTTGTGCGTGATGCGAGAGACATACCTGGTGCTGGAAGCGTGCGGCATTGGCCGCTATCTGCTCGTACTTCGGGAGAGCTGTTGTCGTCATCTTCGGCATTGTAGTCTAGGCTAGATAGGATCTGACATCTGTAGTCTGGGCGTCGAGCGCTAGATAGGATATCAACATTGGTTCTTCGTTGATGATGATGATGAGACTATTCCAGCCTTGTCAATTATGAGTTTTTGGTGTGCTCTTATTTGGTGTAACTCGTGATGCAATTCTGATATTGGTTCGAGGTCACGACTATCTGGTCTTATGTGTATGATGCTGTTTGATTGCTGAAGTTCGCTATTGCTCATCTTTCTTGCATAATCAATAGATGAAAGAAATTTGAATAACTTTTAAATTAAAATGGTGAATTTCGGCAGTGGCGTAGACAGGAGGGAGGATGAAGATTATTCCTATGCTTTTAGGTAAAAATTCTGCACGGCAGGATGGGCGACATTGTCAGACGAGCACAATTATGACAAACATAGGAGGAGTTTCGGATGATGCGTCCAATCGAATGGAATGGTAGAGGGGAGAGGGGGGAATGGATGGGGGATAGACGATGAGGAGAAAGATGAGGTCTTTGGGGGGAGATCGACGAGAGGAAGGAGGGAATTAGTAAAAGGGAGGGAGATTGACTATACCGCGCTCCTGATCGGCCGAGAGCAATCAAGGTCCTTCGTCCTAGTCGAGGAAGGTCTTCAATTACTCCTAAATCCCCCGGTGGAACGACGAGGCCGCCGGAATGTCCGCGTGCAATGATGATGATGTCCGATGAAGGTGGCGACACCACGATGCTGGTGATCGTCGACAATGGCAATGGGGGCAGCACGCGCTTGATGAATTCTGCTGCACAATGTGTTAGGGAGAGCCGGCGTCGACAGATCAAAAGGCAACGTTGCGATGAACGCTTGGCGGCCACAAACAAGGTATTGCTGTGGTAACTTTTCGGACACCTCTAGCTTCAAGTTCGGGAGCGCTAAAGGATCGATAGGCCATGCTCTCACAATTTTTTTTTTTAATTTTTTTTTTTTTTTTTTTTTTTTTNTTTTTTTTTTTTTTTTTTTTTTTTTTTTTAACACATCTGGGTTGGTATTACTCAATGTCGTAAAAGCATCATTGAGTAGTATCAACCTAGTGGCTCCAATCTATTGGTGGGGAGCGGCACCTGGTGAGAACCGGGCTCAACGTCCCAGAGTACAAGGCGAGGAGGAGTAAAGATAGAGAAGGGGGTCTCGGTGCTGCCCTAAGGCAGCATCGCCTGCGGCAGGGCTAGGCCAGGGGCGCATTTTGAGTTGTCCTCGCCTCGGGGGCTCCTTCTGCCGGGAGGCGTCAGCACCCAGCCACAGAAGGAGTCACCAAAGTTTGGACAGCTCGCGACGCCCAAAGCCGAGCCCCTCGCTCCCCCCTAGAAGAAGATGTGATCAATCAATTTGTTCCCATGGACTCCTTTTGCAGGTCCCTCACACTCTCTACTACCAACTTTACCATCAGATCAAACCAATGCTGTTATTCTACCTATCAAGTCCCTATTCTCTCAATCCCATTTTTCACAATTATCCCCTACCCCGGACCAGGTCTTCATAGTGACAACAACATAATAATAAAATTCAAAAACAATTCACAACATAAACAACAAAATCTATACTATCAGGCATATTATAGGCTAATTCAACAAATCCCAATCCACTGCCAGTTCCCTGGCTGCTCATAAAGAACCAATAACTTCCGGTAAGGCGCCCAGGCTCGCATAATGGGCGCCCATGCCTTCTGAGACTTCCTCTTGATATCCGCCGAGATAGCCGATCTGAGGTTCGCTAATGCGAGCGATCGAAGCGCTGTGAAAGTAGGGGTCCTTCGCTGAAAAATCAAGGCCGTACGAAGCGCCCATGCTGCGCCAAAGAAGGCCGCTCTAATGATATCGATTGCGTATGCCCGGCAGGGGTTGATGGAAGAAGGCAGGAGATCAGGGCCAACCAGGAGGCAGGCTTCCCAGTCCTCCCGAGACATCGTGTCAATGTCACCCCCAACCTCCTGTCTCCACCATTCCCAAAAGGCTCTCTGGGGCGGACAGTGAAGCCAGATATGGGGAATATCCTCTAAGACCTCTTCACAGTGCGGGCACGCAGAGTCTGAGACTTTCGTTCGTTTTGCCAGTCATTGTCTCGTTGGGAGGGCCAGGTGAATGTTGAGCCAGAGCAAACCCGCATGCTTCTAGTCCGGCAAAGCTTGCAGGCGCAGGTTCATAGCTCTCCAAGAGCGAGGTGTCCATCCCTTCATATATCCATCAGTTAGCCATCCCTGCTTGGCCCAACGATACTTGAGCTGGCGATCAATGTGGCAGGGGGTCACCAAGGATCGATATATGACTTTTGTATGGGTCTGGTGCAGTAGGAGCGGGCGGCGTTGCAAGCCTTGAGGTTTCCTGGTCCACATCGTAGGGTCAAACGAGAGCTGCACAGGGCGAAGGTGCGGCCAGTACAACCGGTAAGTTCTCTGGGAAGCACCCCTCTTCTCTGCCAGGACAGCAACCGGTCGTACCAAGTCTGCTGGCAACCAGCCATCCCTTTCGGCAGTTCTCTTGAGCGACTCTCCAATCGGCCCGATGCTCGGGACATTCTCCCAGGCTTCCACCCTTAACCATGAGCCACCGATAAGGCCGCAGACTCTGAAGGCCATTCGGTTTGGACTTTCATCAATCTTGACTACCCATTCCTGGGGCAGTCTGGTGTCTGCGCGCAAGTCTGCGATCCATTCCAACTGGATGGCCTGCCGAATGGCTAGAAGGCGGGCACTCTTTCTAGTTTGATCCTCAAGCTGTCTGAGAATAGCCACCTCGTCTTTCCAGTCTTTCGCCGTCTGGTCCCAGAGATTAGCAACCCTAGCCACTCCCGCCCGAAGCCAGGCTCTGCTGAAAGCACCCCTTTCTCCTGCCCACGAGAAAACCTTACCTGTCCGGTCACGAACGCTAGGATTGCCGAACAGGGGTTGTTGCAGAACCTGATCCACCGATGTCGGGGGTTGCAGCTGCAGTGGGGCCAATGTTCGCCATTGTATGAGACTTGGCGTCCAAATGGCCCCTCGCTTAAGATTTACAAGGAGCTGGGGTTGCAGAAGGGCAGTCGCGACGTCCGCCGGGTCCATTCTGAGGGCGTCGGCCATAGTTTGAAGCGTCAGAATTTTCCAAGGGGCATTGTTGTCCTCCAAAAGGAGCCAGATAATGGTGCGAAGGTGGAGGGCGCAGATCTGAAGGGAGGGGTCTATAAGACCCAGGCCTCCCTTCGCCTGTGGTTGGATGAGTTTCTGCCACGAGATCCTATAGATCGCATGGGCGGCAGTGGGGTCATTCCGCCAAATGAATCTACAGATGGACGCTCTATAGTCTCGGCTGGGGACCGGGCCAGGGGAAGAAACCGCTCCAGCATACCAGAGTGTCGATGACGCTGCAGTATTTGCCAGCAGGGCTCTGCCAAATACTCCTGTATTCAAGGATCTGCCACAGAGGGCGAGTCGTGCAACAGCTTTGACCATAAGGCTTTCCATCTGGCTGCCGTCCGTCAGCGCTTCTGGCATGGTGATGCCAAGGTAGGTCGAGGATTCAGTCATAGTTTGGACCTTCATACCTTCAAAAAGGGAGGCCGCCGACATGTCCGGAAGCAAGGCAACGGACTTATGCCAGTTGAGTCTCGTGCCGGCATAGCGCTTGAAAGCCGAAATCTGGGTCCTGAGTGCTTGGACACTACGCCGCTCCAGGGCAGTGACAGCGCCAGTATCGTCTGCAAATCCGGAGCTCTTGAGTTGCCTGCCCTGC